AGTTATTTATAAAAATAATAAAGGTGGGATAAAAAAAAAATCTTTAAAAAATGTTTCATTTCTAGATAGACACAGTCCCAAGTGTGCACATCTCTTTCAAGGAACAATTGCCTTAAAAAGATTTTCTTGGCCTCCATTTTTCACATTTTCTGTTTCTTAGATTTCAGTTTTAATTTTACTTTTCCCCATTTGTGCTTCAGGGTTATCAGTCTGCAGCCAGCTTCCAAAAGTTGCTGAATGCGATTTCCCAAGATCTAAGTCAGCCCTGTTAAAGATGAGTTAAAAGAGGAATATACTAGGAACATACAAATTTAACATCATCATCATCTTCAGCAACTTCAGAGGGCCAAAAATTATCTCTCGCTGTATAGTATAAAAGGTAAGCGAGTGTTTAAAGCCAAGAGAACCCATCTTTGTTTTATTTTTAATCTTTCAATAGATGGATGAACCGTCTGGGTCTGGCTGCCATTGGTTACACACCTGATGACAAGGAAATCCGGCCAGATGAAGGTGAGGCTCCTTTAACCGATGGTAAGATATACCAATAGAGGTATCTGAAAATATCCACCGCCTTTGGGAAATCTTGCCTAACAAAGAATACATTTCAGTAGAAAATGCAAACCTCTTTTTAGCAGATTATTGGAGTGAAAGCGACCAGGAAGACGTGGACAGCTCCTTAATGCTGAAGCAAGAGGGACCCATTGTGCTTTGTGACACCTACCACCGGACCCCCTCAGTAAGTGGAGCGAGCAATGAAACGCAGCCGCTTTCGAACCTCACACGGCATCTTCTTTTCGGTCTCTCTTTCTGGATGGGCACGGAGAAGCCTGACACCAATGGCCGACTTAATGGGTCAGCTGCGTCCAAGCCGTGCTGCTCACCAGGAGCGCTTGGCTGTGCTATGGACTCAGCAGGTCTGGCAACAGATGAGCCATCCTGGGCTCTTGGTGGCCACCCAACCATTCCAACCCTGGCTCTGGAAGATTGCAATTAGACAAGCCCAGCCGGTCCAATTTATGTGCTGAATTAGCCACTGGGAAATAAGGATGCGACATACTCAATTAAAACGACTCATATTTGAAACCATCTTTACTGTGTGGCTCGTATAGCAAATAAATATTCTGAACCTGTGTTTCTAAGTGCAGATAGGACTTTTTCTATTTTTCTTTCAGATCTTTCTTCAGCCCGAATAATGTGATCCTCACACAGCCAGAACCAAAGGCAGCATGACAAAGGCCACAGCATCACATGGGTGAAGCTCAGTCTGACTTTCACCCATGTGATTCTGTCCCATCCCCTGGGAAACAGGTTGAGCCCCTCAGTTTCCTTTTTTTCCCCACTTTTTGCTTTTTTCCTCGCCTCCCCCTTGCATTTTTAAAAGTCTGCATTTAAGTGCTGCGTTTTTAGGCTGCATCGATAGAAATCTGCTCCATTCGGTTCTTGTCCAACCCCTTCAGAGTCCAATGTCCCACTTCTGGATGCCACCATTTCAGAAGAATGGAGACAGTGAAACAAATTCAGAGGTCAGCAAGAGTGAGAAGGGAAGAAGCAATACTGAGGACTAAATATGCTTGCCCATAAGACTTGAAGGTTGAGTAAGGTGCCACACAGAAGACAGCTACAACTTACTGTCCTTGAGTGCAGGATATAGAAGGAAGGGGAAACTTCCAAGAAGTCCTAACGTTTGACCATGGATCCCATGATCTAAAAAAATCACTGAGCTGTTGGCCAACACTGCTGTAACATTTCACTTTAGACTCCTATTATCCTTTCCAATCTTGCTGTTCAACTAGTTGATCCAAGCAAAATGCCTGAAGTTTTTTACTCATATAGATAGCCATCATTGCATGTCATGGAACTTGGCATTTCCACGGCTATTGCCCATCATGTCATCATGGTAATTTCACATAGGTAGGAGGCTTTAAAGCAGCCTTGGTCAATCTGCTCCTCTCCAGAAGTATTAGAACTACAGCCTCCAGAATGTCCAGCCAGTGTGGCCACTAAGATTTAGAGCATTGTAGTCTCAGGATATCTGGAGGCCACCAGGTTGAGAAGGATACTTCAGATGTTCTGTTACCAACATGGAAGCAGCTCCATAAGAAACATAACACCCTATTTAGGGAAAGGAAGGGATTAACCCTGAAGAGTATGTTTTGTATTTTTCCAATGTGTTTCCATAATTGTATCATATAATGGGATGTTTTAATTATTTTTAGATGAATTCTTCAAGTCCATTCCCTGAGCCCAAGCATGGCCGTCACTTCTCCAGTGAATCAACCTATTCCCATTCTTCTGCAGAAGAGTCCCGACAGGATCCGGCAGGGAATACACACTCTGCAGGAGGCTGTAGACCCCCTTACAGAGAACGACGTTCATGGCAGGATCTCATAGAGACTCCACTGACCAGTTCAGGCCTCCATTTTCTCCAGACTATTCCTACTGACTCAGACTACATGAATGAGAGATTTGGGATGTCCCCGGAGAAGCGGCGACAGGCAACATTACCTGTCCAAAGACGCCACAACCATGATCAGGATGGTCCTTTCCCATTGGTCGAGTGCTATAAAGGTCAGAGTTCTCACCCCAGGCCCCAGAAGCAAAGAAGCCAAAGCCTTCCAAGAAATCGAGATGTCCGAGTCAAAGGGCGCGTAAAAACTAGTGGGATCACTGAAGAGCGGTCAGAAGAGGAACTGGCTATAAAAAAGCAAAGTAATTTGTGTAAAGAGGGTAAGAGGTTAAAATAACTGGACTTCTGATAATGTTAGTGATGGAAGTGATGAAGCTCAGTGATCAGACTTCTGCTCCTCATGCAGAAGGTTCCAAATTCAAAATATGGCATCTCCATTACAGGCAGAAGAACTATAAAAGGTTCCTATATGAGATCTTGAAGAGTTGCCACCAGGCAGAGTAGACATTTCTAGATTAGAGGAACTCACTAGTCAGCATGAAACAATTTCTGGTATTCGTAAAAGCAGGATCATCTTCACAAATTGAGTCAACAAAATATCTGATAGAAACTACTTGAAAATTCCCTAGCACAGGAGTGGGGAACCTATGGCCACATTGCTAAACTACAACTCCCAGCATTCCTTATCATGTTGGTCATGCTGGCCAGTCAGCAATCTTTGGAGGGCCAAAGGTTCCCAACCATCCTGGAAAGTTTTGAATAGACGATAGGACCTTAAGACTAGATTTCATATTTCGTGGCCCTGGCAATGTCTTCCAATAGGATTTTGAAATTTATTAAGAGCCCGCTATACCTTTGAAATGCTGTTGTTTGATCCCATATTTCATTCCCAGAGTTCACACAGGTTAGAAAATGGCTCTTTAATTTTTTTTTTTTTTTTTTAACATTTCATTGGGATTAAAACAGGTTCGGGGAGAAAGAGATCCAATCGCACGATAAGGTTTATGTCTTTAGGTTTTGCCTGATTCCTTCCACTATCAATGAAGGAAGTTCTAAAGGAAGTTTGCTTTTCTTCAGAAAACATAGAAGAACGAAGGAAGAGCACAGATGGTCTTTGTGAGCTCTACAAGTCTCTGGAGCAAGCCAGTTTGTCAGCCTTTGGGGAGCAGCGTCCTTCTACCAAGCAGGAATTCCGAAGGTCCTTTGTAAAGAGATGCAATGACCCTGTTATCAATGAAAAGTTGCATCGCATCAGAGTACTCAAAAGTACTTTAAAAGTAAGCATTTGTTCTTGCTGTAGTGGGATCAGCAGAAGGGGCTGTAGCTTGTTATAGTAACAACAGAGAGTTGTTTTACTCCTGAATCAGAGGACGGAAGAGGGGCCAGTTTCAGCACCTTTAGATCCAAGCAAGAAATGGCCAATTTGACCCATGCATATCCACAAGATCTTGCTGTTCTCATTAAAATGGTGAAAGCAGCATTTCTACCATTGCACCACAGGTTCGGTCCCTTTTAGACAAGGGGGCAACATCATGACACAGAGACAGAAACGGGCAGGACTGGAGTGCAATGACATAATGCGGCTTTCATCATTTGGCCTGCTTCCCTCACCCATTCCACCCCAGACACTGTTGATTTGACCTCAGCTGGATCTAAATGCTTGTATTCAACTCATCCTTTTGTCCTGGCCTTGTCAACTTGATCTCATTCCTCCACCTTTTTCCACCCACTCCCTTTTCCTTCTGTTTTAGTTTGCAAGGCTAAAGGGAGGGTCTTTCCCACCCTGACATCGATCAGTTGCCTTCAGAGATAATATCAAGTCAACTTTAAAGTTAAAAATTAAATGAATAATAATTAACAATAAATCACGCACATCTCAAAAAGCAGATTAGATCATGTATTCCCAAGAATGCAATTAACTAAAAAACTCCTAATGCTACTACGATTCACAAAATGGAGTTATTAAGCTATTACATCTTTTCCTCTTTAATGGATTCTTTTTTCTGCTAAGGTAGAGACAGAAAATGTCAGGTGGGCTACAAAATCAAGGCAACCTCTGAAATCCTTGTGAAATTCCACAAATGAGGCAGTGTAATTGCATAATTGAGAGCCAGTTTGGTGTAGCAGTTAAGTCACTGGGCTAGAAACCAGGAGACCATGAGTTCTTGTCCTGCCTTAGGCATGAAGCCAGCTGGGTGACCTTGGGCCAGTCACTCTCTTCCAGCCCCAGGAAAGAGGCAAGGGCAAACCACTTCCAAAATTTTGCTAAGAAAACTGCAGAGACTTGTCCAGGTAGTTACCAGGAGTCAACTGCTTCAAAGGATTTAGCTATGACTTGAGGGGAAAAAAAGATAAGGAACAAGGGATTGGGAAAACTTGTGGTTCTTCACAGCATGGTTTTGGTTAATAAATAGATAAATCAAGTCACAGCCTAAGAACTTCTAGAGAGTCATGAGTTCCTTTCCTCTGGTGTTGTCCTTAACTCAAACAGGAGCATCTGTGTTAAGATCTACCACGTGTAACTTCTCAGAAGGGCCTTGGGTTGCATCTGAACTATTGTCTTTTTGGACAGGCAAAAGAAGGGGATCTGGCCATGATCAACAACTTGCTTCACGAGCCTAACTTGACGTCCAAGAAATTCAAAGAATGGAAAACTAAGAACTATGAGTTTTTTCTGGACATTTGTGAGTACAGCGGTGCTCTGAAAGCCCAGAATGGAGCTTCTGAACTCGCAATTACAGCCTCCCTGCTGACCCACACACATTCCTTCATTGAAACCCATGTCTGACAGAACCGGAGATTGTTGGAGGAGGGTTGGGGAGCAGCAGGGGCGATCCATTGTGACAAAACACTGTAACCTGTGTAAATAATGTATCCAGCTATATTGTAAATAGATTGGATAAGAAATTAGTACCACCGGATGCCTACTGCATTGCATGATGAGACAGATTTATTTATTTTACTCCCCTTTTGGAATTATTTTGGGTTGTATCAATTCTGCTTCCGTAAGAAACAGTGTAGAAGGGTGAACGGGCATAAAACAAAGCAAAATAAAACCAGTATATTTATAACGCCAGTGTACTTATCAGTACTAAAAGCCAGGAGTGTAGTAAACAGGATTTTCTCTTTCTTTTATATACGTAGATATATTGTATGGACTCATATCTATGTATATAAAATGTAACGTGAAAGCTGAGGTTTATTTTTTAAATATTCTGAGACGTCCATCCTCATAAATTCCCCCTCTCTTTTTTTTTAAGAGTGGAAATTTTAAGTATGAAAAAGAAAAAAAGAATTAAAAAAAAAAAGAAAAGAAATAATCAGTTCCTCCTAGGGAAAAATTGCTTAACCTTTCAGCATTTCCAATAAGCGACTGGTTTTGTTAACATAAAGAGAGCTTGGCGAAGTCTGGAAATGGAAAAGTTATTCCCCCTTTTGGCGTGCCTTAAAATATACAGCATTTATCCAGGAAAACAACTTACTTTTCGTTTTGCCTCTCCAGGCACAAACGGTACATGTTGTTCAAATGCTGTGCTATTTTTACAATACTGTGCCTGCTTTTCAAAGGATTGACCCAAGACACACGAGAGTGAGCGTGCACACGCACACCTGTACATTAATGTGACAGAGAAGAAATTAAGGTACAAAACCGTCGGTAGCAGAATTGCGACATGGAGCTTCTGCTCACCTTTTGGGCCGTCACAAGTAGGGGCCGAACACACAATCCACCTTTCTGGAAATCGGGAGCTGTTCCAGAGGTCAGCAATTTTCCACTGTGAATTTAAGACCACAGACCTACAAACTGCAAACTTCTGATCTTGTCTTTTGCAGCCTCAAGACAGAATAACAAAAAAGGCCAGACTGAACACCATGGCTTTCTATATTTACACTGTGCTATGAATAAAGATCCTCAGATTTATGGTTTGAGAACCGTTGCAATAAAAGAAACCTAACTCCTGTTAAGGCATTATCGCTGAACAAGAAATTCAGTGCCAGTAAGAGATGGGTTCACCTTATCATTCCCGATTCCTGTGTCCCTGCCACATTCAGCAGGAACTGCGTACCATTGCCCACCTCATGTTCATTCAAAGGCAAGTGGAAGTCTCCATCTGATCAGGAATAATAATAATAATAATAATAATGATGATGATGATGATGATGATGATGATGATGATGATGATGATGATG